AGTTACTGCAAGAGGCCCAAGTCATGTCAAGATTTACTGTGGAAAACAAGCCAGCTTTTTATTTTGTCTTCTGGGGAAGTTTATGGTAGAGTGAGATAAACATCCAAAATAGTTAAGGTTGTTTATCCTGCATCACTTAGAAGTCATTCTTGACATCACTTGTATACAACTGAGCAGAGGAGCTGCTCAATCAGCGCTGACAGAAATTAAACCCAGATCACCCAGCCTCAGGGCATACAGTCCTTACTTCAGTGTGATAAAATCTGCTTCTGTTGGGATAAAACCTGAACTGCTCATACAGCTCCTCTTGTCACAAGCCAAATTTTGGTGCATAAAGGCTCCTCCTCCAGTTGTTTTCCTTCCAGGGACACAGTCATTATTTCAGGACACTTTACCTCACCCTGACATCTCTCTCATATCTTGGGGCTTGCAAGGCGGGATGAATATTGCAAAAGGATCTGGTGCCATGCTTGTCCAGTGTAATGACTTTACTATTGGCCCCAAATCTGCAAGTCTTAGACTTGGGGAGCAGGGATCCTGGAAGCTACCCGCAGGTAACTCAAGGCAACATGGAATCTTCAGAAATTTTTCCTGTTCTTTTTTGACTGTACAGTTTAGTGATGCCCGCCTGAAAGTCACCCCCTGACGGTAGGAGGAGGGAGACATGCTGAACGTGAATAGATTGGAAATTCGTTTCCCTGAAACAACTGGAAGTGCCAGACTTGCTGTTGACTAGGAGGAAGCTAAGAAGGGGTCTTTGCTGCGTTGTTCAATGGAGCTGAAATCCACTTTGTCCTTTACCTATGTAGCAAGCTCCTAGGTTTGGTAGTACATATGTTGCTCTTTGCATGAGTATTGATTATAAAGACGTTTATTCCATGTATTAAAAGCTTGATGTGCCCTTTAAAAGCTGCTCTAAACCCATTCTGCAGGAACAAAGCCTGTGAACGTGCCTTTTCTTCCCTCTGATTCTTATCTCAGGCACATATAAGCGTAAGCCACTCATTGCAGTGGAAATATCTGTGATTTGCAGTGCAGGATGAGTTCTTAGCTGGTAGATATGCCAGTAACAAACGGGCTGAGGAACTCACTAACTCTCATACTTGAGTCAAGGAAAGCTTGAGCATGACTCACTTAGGAATGCTTTGTACTCCCCTAATTGCATAATTACCTTAGAGAGCTCACTGGCCATTTGGCACAGAGGTCATGCCCGTTTCCTCTGAGCACAGGAATAACTCCTAGCTTCTCCTAGCAGGATAAAAAGAAGATGTGAGGAAGACATATGGCCGTGGCCCCACTTTTCCTCTATATAATCCAGGAACAGTATTTGTGCACAACTACAAGGTCCTTCGTTCTCTGAAGTGAGGATGGGAAAGTTGACAATTACGAAACAAAAATCAGCACTTTCACCTCTGCACTGAGACAGTATCTTTATTGAAAGGGATAGTGTGATATTCTGGGGTGTTTGGTACTGGTACTTGTGACATCTGAGTTCTAATAAATAGAATTAAAAAAAAGTGAGGGGGATGCCACAAGCACAGGAATCTTCACCACTATACTCATACACCATAGAGTTAGTCTGACTGCCAAGCAAAGAAAACAGAGATCTCCCCAACACCTTGTTCTCAAAAGCAATAAGTAAAAAAAGATATGAATAATATAAATGCTATCAACAACTGCAATCATGCAAAGCAGATGACAAGCAAAGTGAAGGGACCAGAATGTCCCATGAGGAAAATGGAAAATGAACTTGCTAGTTGCATTAACGGAATTAAAGGAAGATTTGGCTGGAGAATTCTCCTAGACCTCTAGCAAACTCAACAGTGCAGTTTTCAGGGCTCTCCCCATGTGTAGAACTGATAAAGTAAGTAAGTCTGAAAGATGGAACAAAAGGAGAAAGATAGAAATGAATGATATTGGTAGCTGAGGAGGAGATATTTAAGTATAGCTATCTTTAGTCCCCCTAATGCTCTCTTGTTCTGGAGAATGGCTGGAATTTCTGGTCCCTCTTCTTAACCTTTTTATTAATGTTATCCAACAATAAATTTGGAAGCTAGAATTCTCCTTTGCAGATTGGTGATGGCATGACTATGTAGTCAAACTTTCATCCTGCTCTCCCCTTCATGACACCTATGAATTTATCATCCTTTATTGCACACTGATGCATCTTCCATTTGAAGCAGCTAAAGCACATCTTCTCCTGTCCCCCTTACAGCCCACCAGCTAATATCCCCTAACATAATTCTATATAATGGGGTATATACACTCTCCTCCCACTGGGCTTATAAATGAAAATACTTGTGGCTGCTATACTTCATGCTGATGCTAATGCTGCCGGTGTGTTTTAGACATGTGCACAGGATGCCTGCCTGGACTGGCCCTTCAAGAGTTGTAGATGGATGTGAATCCAAGTGGTCTGATGCATCTAAGTTACTTTATTAGTGTAAACTTTGGTGTCCATGGGCTTCTCAGCTGTGTACTTGGATTGGCAAGAGCATTTAAGATTACTCATTTGTTTAGAAGTTCATGATGGCTACTTAAATCTTTCCTTCTTTTTTATCAGCGTCTTTTTAAGCAGTGGGAAGCAGAGCAGTTTAATGCCAACTGAGGCTGCATTAGCTTCCCCTTTCTGTGAGAAACCTCTGCTTAGAAGGTTCCCAAAGTGAAAGTGGTTGCAAGAGAAAACAGCCGGGAGACACTCGCATCCAAGCCTGGCTCTGGTGAGTGATATAAAGGGAGCATCACTCTAAAGCAAGAGAAATGTTTTGGGGAGACAAAGGAAAATGAAAGATCTTGATTCCTAAGCTGAGAGAGAACTGGTCAGCAGTTTATCAAATCAAAGGCTAATGTCCAAGACTGATTCTGTTCTCACAGATACATATCTGAAGTATGGAATTCATTAGAGCTACATCTAACTAAACCCAACTGAATTCAGAGGAAAGTCAGGCTCTGGGTCCCAATTGCTTTTGTTATCAAACAAAAAATAGGCAACACCTCTGTTCTTTGCTTTTTTTAATCATTCTCCTGGAGACTCAAGGAGTTAGCGTGCCATTGTGCGGGTGGCTGCCCTAGGGATCAAGGAACACCGGACAGAGTCTATAGTAAAGCTTCTTGCATTAGGATGGCGGCAGAGGAAACTATACAGAAAATGCAGTCCAGGAAAGAGTTCTTAGAAGATGAAGTAGGGATTAAGCCAGAGCCTATTTTACCATTTGCTAAAACGCTCAGTGCATTTGCCTTCATGGATTCTGCATTCCAGAGGACTGCATGCTGGGTTAATAAAATCCCTCTCTTGAACAGGCTCTGGAAACTCAGACGGTCACTGACTGCCCATATGGCAGAATTTGGCTATTGCTATTAGACAGCTGCAGGAAGTTGAGGACAAGAAAGGGGAGACAGCACCAAAATCTTACGGACACATAGACATATAGAGAGACACATGGCTTTGCCTCACGGCAGGAACTTCCAAAATATGTTCCTAATCAAAATGCTAGGATCCTCTTTTCTTTTTTTCTTTCAGGAACTGCAATTTGCACTTCTGCTTTTCTTAGGTGATACGTATGTGATTTAAACCCTCATACACCCTGAGCTTAAGTTTCAAGAGCGTTTTAAAACAATTAGCACACCTACAAGAAAAAGAGCAAAACACCACATTGCCGTTGCTCACAGACTCAAAGGGAGATTGAGTTTAGCATTCTTCCGTAGGGAAGAAATGACATGCTCCCCAGTAACCCAATGCCAAACCACTGCTCTCTCTTTTGAGTAGCAAATGCCATTCTTACTGCGTCTAAAAGCCCAGACTGTGTTTCTTTTCTTAACATGAAATTGTGTATTTTGGTACTGTTCTCAAACAACAGTTTAACAGAACAAAGGAGTTATCTTTATGAGACAGCCAGGGAAATACACAAAGAACAGGAAGATGCAGCTAACCTAAATAATGACATTGAAAACAAAATAGCTATCGGCCTATAAATAAACAATACGAAGTAAATATCATTATTTTTATTAAGAGAAGACACAGACTTAATTCCTGGGAATAATGACATCTACTGTTTCCTCAGACTTTAGTTCTCATTTTTTCAGTCAAGCCACAGAACAACATTTCCTACTTTCTTCAACTTTTTACAGTATGAACTTTCATACCACTTCTTTTGGAGAAAATTGCAAAACCCAGACACGTACGTTTAGGAGAAAGGTCAGATATTCTAAAACAATAAAATTGCCCAAACTGCTATTTTTGAACTGTGCAAATACATGCATTCTTACAGAGCAAGGAAGTAAACATACACACGACTGCATTAATTAAGACAATGTTTAGTTTCCTGCAACCCAAAGGAATTTTCTTATTTAGACTAAGTCTTTAACGATGCAATCTCCTATTGTGTGTATGTGGGTGTGCAAAGCAGCAACTGCAATTTCACAAAAAGGCAAGGGCTGGTCCTGACCTGGTGGGTGAATGGGGAAGGAATTAAATAATCCTCTAAACCAAAGCCAGAATCAACTTTCTGAGTGCCAGACTCAGTCACTCTAGCCTTCTCACTTTCTGTAATACAGTCCTAAACAACCTGAGCAGAAACTCGATTCACGTGCTTTTTTTCCTGGGGATTGTCTTCTTGAGTATCTTGGGCAGGAAACTGGCCTGATCTGTTGACTTACAGGATTTAAAATAAGCACTCGCGTTTCCCCCTCCCAATCCTGACCAGCGGCACTGGGCTGAATCACTTCCCCGGTGGAGGCAAGAAACGTGGAAGAGCAGAGTGCTCGCAAAGTGGCCGAGCGATCAGGAAATGCTCTCGGGCTGACATACAGTCAGCAAAAACCATGACTGAGCCTGGCGAAACATCAGGGCACGGCACCGATCCCCATCCCTCAGGCTTTACCTGCTGGTGGGTGAATGGCTGGGAGGGATGTCCTGCACAAAGCTCTGCTCCATGCCTGGGATTCTGGCCGGGCTGTGGGGATGGTAAGCTGTCAGGACCACGCTGCCCGAGTCCTTCATCTCCATGGTCATAGGCACATGTCGGCTCCGCTGCCTGTGACAAAGGCGACCGGGGGTGCCGATGGGCCCCGACGGGAGGGCGAGCGGTCCTGTCACGAGCACGAGCGCATGGCCTGGCTCCGTAGCAGCCTCTTGCCACCGCTGGCTGTCAGGAGAGCTGTGTAACTGAGACACCGCTCCTCTCCCTGTCAGGAAAGCTGAATTAGCATATATTCAAAAACACCGCCCACAAAACAACCCACAGGGAAGTTACTACGTTCCTAGGAAACTAGAAACCTGAGATAATCCTGTATGGCACCGAGCGACCACCGGGAAAACTTGCTTGCTTTCTTTTCGTTTCTTTTTAAGAGTCAATTTCTTAATACTCTTCCTGCTCTTGAAACAGGCTCGACTAAGTGAAATTATTTGTTGGTTAAGCAGCAGGACGAGTGGAGAGCACTACTCAAACGCAAAACGTGGTTTGGCAGAGCAGGGAGTGACATGTAAGCTGCTTACACGAGAGATTCAGAAACCGAGTAGGCTCTGCTCTGTTTAAATAATCAAGGAGCAGGAACCTTGATTTCCTACATGCCGGCTTATTTCTGTGGCAGGGAACTGCACTTGCTTTCTCCTGAAAACAGATTAAGCTTTTGTTTTGCCTGATACGGCTGTGCACATAATGAGAAGGGCACTGGGAAATGAGTGAATTATTTTTACAATAGTGTGTGTTCATCTGGAGCAATCCCATAAATAAATACACGCCGAGGCGCTTGATATTTTTTTTATGCTTGTGCCTGATCTTTGTATGCTAATTGAATGTTTTTCTCTCAGAAGGAAACCAGCAAGCAAAAATATTGGGGTCCAACTCTGGAGTAACACCCAGAGAAAACTCTGTAGACAAAATGAGAAAAATCACACAGCCCTTTATTTTCCTCTCCCATTTCTTCAGTGTTTGGGGGTTTTTTGAAAAGAAATGTTTCTGATAAATGCCTATTCCTGAAAACTATTGTCCTGCCTATGAAATCATGGGAAGGATATCCCCAATTTTACGAGCCACAGCTCTCTGAGCGCCTTGTGAGCGCGTGGGTGAAACACCAGCCTCTGTGCACCTTTGTCAGAGCTGCGGGTGGCATCCCCACCGCAGGTACTATGCAAAATGCCTGTCAGGCTCCTCTTTCGCATCCTCCTTGAATGAAGGTGCTCTTGCCAGCATTGCTATGGGGTTGCCTAAATTACACCGTCGGTCTCTCCAGCTGGTGAAGTAGCTCAGGTTTTGAAGGGCACAAAAATGATTCATCCCATCTCCACCTTGCCCCTGAGCTCCGTATCCTGCCTGGAGGGGCAGGACCCAGGTTTCAGTCAAATATGTTGCTACTCATGTAGGCAGTGCCCAAGTTAATTTTAAATTAGCCAGCATAGGACACTGATAACAGTGCATTTGGCAGCCCTTCCTTCCAGGCTCACCCAGGAAGCATAAATATTTGAACATGCAGAGCCTCTAGGCTTGCTCTTGCTACACTGTTAACATGCCCTGGATTAAATATTTTAAAGCCAGGCTGCACAGGATAAAATCATGGTTGCTTCCATGGCAGTGTGGAGGCCTTCTGGGAGCCACCGTGCGGCCATGTACGTATGTTAGAAATGAAGGAGAAGGCTCTAAGATAACTCTGGAAGCATTGCCTACTGCCCATGGCATCAGGACTGTATCCTGGTCTCCTAAAGGACGCCTACTCCATTTCCCTCGCTGCAGAACTGGTGCCTGCAGCGAGGACCAGGGTGAATGCAATAACCAGTGAAGACCTTATTGTGTTCTGTGATTACTGGGGTATTCAGGAGAGGGACAGGGTCTGACAAATTAGGATAGATGCCATCATGGGTCTCATATCCCAACTCTGTGGAGCACTGACTGAATGCCAGGTTGGTGCCTGGCTGCTGGATGACCAGGGATGCTGCTGTCAATGTAATTTTTTTCCCTTCCTACCCTGGCTTTACATTCCCCTTCTTGGACCAGAAGATGGGTACCCCACTTCTCTGATGAGGGGGAGTAAATTATAAATAGAAATTTATATTTGGCACAAGTGCAAATAGGTATTTTGAAAATTAATCAGTCATAATACACATATTAAACTGAGAGCTAAAAATTTATAAAAATAAGTTATAAAATATCTGCTGATGCCCTTTAAAGGCATTCTCCACAATTTATTTAAGAAACTAAACCTGTGAAGAAACACACATTGTGGAAGGCACCAAACACCATCAGAAATGGAGTAGGCGTCCTTTAGGAGACCAGGCTGCAGACAAAGTATTGGCTGCAACTCCAGGAAAGTCTTTTTTTCTTCCCTTCCTAGCATCATAACATTAGGCTTTCTCCAGTACCATCAGACAACAAAATGATGGTTATGCGCTTTAGGCTATGTGTAGATAAAGCCCACAGTAGAAATACCATGTATTTTTAGTATTATTTTTATTTCCTCTCTTCCCATAAAAAAAAAACCAGTATGACTTAGAGAAGAATACAGTTACTCTCTCAATAGTAAAACGCAAATAAAGAAAAGAGGCCCACACTTATTAAATGGGATTTTCTCTCTAAGAAAAATAAACATGGAAGATTTTATTTGGAGATTTATAAAGTGCTGGTGCATGAACTGGAGGCTTGTATGGAAATGGCAGTCTGTTTGGCACAAGTACAAATAGATATTTTGAAAATTAATCAGCCAAAATACATATATCAAACTGAGAGCTAAAAATGTTTATATGTGTAATGGCTCTTGGGGTTAGACATCTGCATATTAGTGAAAACCAAAAATCATGCTAAATCAGCTAGAGATGCACATCAGCCATTAAACAAAGTTTTAACTGGACTAGTAATATAGCCATAAGAAAAGCGTACAAGGCAACGTGGGCCAGATTCCGCCTTCAGTTCTATCTGTGCAGTTCCGTTAGTTAAAGGAGAATTTATTCACCTGGTTTCTAAAGAAGCAAGTAGGAAAATATTTTAATCCAACATGCTTGTGTTTCTACAGGATCCCCTTCAGTACTAGATCCTGGAGTGCTCAGGACTATGACACTACCACCTGTTTTTTCAGGTAGTTAATAGCTCTGTAGACTTTTCAAATACACTGGAAATGCCAGTTTGGAGAGAAATAATGTGAGGATGTTTTTGGTGGCAACGAGTACAGTGAAGTTACAGCAAGAGAAGAATCTGTGGGGAATCTGTGGCCAGTGAACCCATGAGCAGCTCCCTCAGGTTTGGTAGGCAAGGACCTTGTGCTTTCGAATTTTACATTGTGCTTGTGCCAAAGGGAGTGCTTTGCACTTTCACAAATTTGGCAAAAGAGTTGTTGATATATGGATCAGTGGGCCCAGATTTTGAGAACGAGGAATGAAAAACCTTTATTAACCTATTGTTTCAGAAACCTAAGTCAGTGGCTATATAGTTGTATGATGAAGCCTTCAGCTCTTCTGCTGCAGAATATCTGTGACAGCCATATACAAGAAGTATAAACACACAGAAAGACACTAGTTAATGTTTGAATAGTTGAATAGAAATTTTCATTGTTGCTAATAATATTAATATATATATTTACATAATATTAATTAGTAATCATTGTGGCGGTAACATGATGGACAACCCGTGTATGGCAAATTTAATGTCTATTGCTTAGAAAGGAACTAATAAATTTTTCACATAGATTTTAAACAGCCTTTTCTGGTTAAGTCCAAGGGGGGCTGTCACTGAGAGGAATGGGATTTGTCAGCTAGGGGTTCATGTCCCGAGGTGGTGGGGGCATGCACCATTATATCATAAGAGTAGACCCACAGAGCCCTGGAAAGTGCAAAATTCCCCTTTGAACTACAAATCACACAAAAATCTCTAGGTATTGAATTTCATTGCTCGCTTCCAGCTTAAATTAGCCAGGACAAAGCTGGATGGAATTCGCAAAACTTTGAAGTTAATTTTGGACCAGTTTAATGTGAACTTGGGTTAGATTAAGTTTTAAAAGGAAGCTGTGTAAAACACAGCATTTTTCACTGATTAAATCAAAGGAAATAGAGTGGAGCAATACACAGTAAAATGTCATTCTAGCACTGCACCTAAATTTCCTCATCCCTCTTGTTCAGGCAGTGGTATGCAATAAATTTTGTATCTATCTGTGTGAAAGAAACCAAAACCAGAACCACTGCATTTCGCCATTGTTTGGGGGGGAAAAAAGGTATCTCTTGTCTTTAATTTGTCATTTGGATGGAAAGATGCTTGAGGGGTGGGGGGCAGAAACACTCACCACACCAAAGAGTTGGTGTGGGCAAAAAGTGTCTGGACACTGAAAATGAGCAGTGCCACAAAGTCACATGAAAGTCAACGAGAGTGGTATGTGAGTCTTCTGCTGCTCAGTACCAATACCTGCTGTGAAAAAAGGCTCTGAGAAGGGGCTGACTCTTGTGTCAGGAAAATTTTCACTGTGGCTTGATGTTTATTTCCTTTAAAAGAATTTTATGCATCATGAAGGATAGTTTCTAATGCTTGATTTAGCCTCTGTGCTTTCTATTTCTGTGATGCCGGAAGGATTACAGTCTTTTTTTCCTCCACTATAAAGGTGAGGTGTTTGTGTGCCTCTGTGTGGGCAGCTGGGAATGTGAGCGAAGGGGTGAGATTCATCGGTAGCATCAAAACATACCCACTGCTTTTAGAAAATTGAAAAATTCATGAGCCAAAAAACCTTCCAAAATGAGAGGAAAACCTTTCTTATTCTGCTTTCTTCATATTGAAAAATTCATAAGCCAAAAAACCTTCCAAAATAAGAGGAAAACCTTTGTTATTCTGCTTTCTTCTTATTTTCAAACTGAGATTAAAAACAACATTGAGAAAACTGTTGCTTGTCCTTTACAAACAGGTAAAATATCGAGGCTATTTAGGCAAAGAGAATAGAAATCAGGTATCATGGCAATTGGTGGTGTTCCAAAGGTTTTTAATTAGGGTATGAAACAAAACATTCATCTTTGTTAAATACAACCTCACACATTTCAGTCCCAGGCCCAATTTAAATATACATCATACTTTAGTGAACTT